ATGTATGATCAGTTAGAACAGAAGTGCACACTTATTAAATAGAAAGTAAAAACCAAAAAGCTCATAAACCTGGATACATACTTCGTAAAGGAAGATAATTACTAAGGGTGTTGCTTTGCCTGTGCTTGGCCAACCTGGGAATTTGGAAAAAGAAGGAAGAAGCAGAGCAGAGCTGTGGTGGCTCTTTTTGTTCAGATATCCTGCTTCAAAGTAGTTTGCAGATGCTGACTCTGACCTTTAGTTATTTTTTTCCTCTGCTATCAGGCTGAATTAGCACAGGGTCATAAATATATCAGCTCTGTAATATTGGTGGTCAGAATACGTATTGGCTTTTGGTTGTTTTTTGAGAGGTACATACACTTGTCATTTGGACCGATACTTTTCCTGGACTGGGAGAGATCAGAGTTCTTGGTCTTGGGAATATGCTTTTATGCTTCATCCAGTTTCATATAATACATTTTTTCCCCAATGCAAAATTTGGAAGCAGAAGCATCAGTAAGCCTTTCTTGGTTGTTTTAAAATGTCTCCCCTAAATGTGTCTACTTTAAACCTAAACTAAACAAACTTTTCTTCTCATTTTTGAACATAGTCATGTAATATAGAAAACCAGTAATAGACATCTATCAAGCCATGCTGTAACTCTTCTGTAAGCATATTCCTTCAAAGGAAGATTATTTTGCAATATATCCATTATTTTAAAGGAGTGTGTCAGATCAGACCATAGGCTTATCTAGTTCAACATTCTGTTTCCTATTGTGGCCAGTAAGATAACTGTGGGTGGTCCACAGCAGAACATGAGGGCAATAGCCATTTGTTCCCATCAGTTTAAATTTATAGGCATGCTGCTTTCTAGAGATAGCATGCACGCAGCCATGAAGATTAATAACTGATGATACTATTTACTACAAAAGTTTTTTATTTCCTTTTAAATGCAATTAATTCTAAGGTGTGCACAAGTTTTAAAACCAGGTTGTAGGCAGGTTTCTAGACTTAATGGCATTAGGATTATTTAAGTTCAGCAATTAGATTATTTCTTAGAATCATATGTACACATAAACTAGTGGTTGTCTCTATCAGACAACCTATCAAAAAATCTTGACAACTTTTTGTTTCTGATGTTTTCTAATCAAAATACTTCTTGTTGGTGTTTCTCTTCAGAACAACTAATATCACTTCCTAGCAGTTCTTGCTGGTTTATTTACTTATTGATTTACAACAATTTTGTATCACTCTTTAAGATGATTCTGGGCGGTTTACAATAAAACATTGACATAAAACATCCCACTAAAATAACCATTCTTATACATAAAAACCATGGTTGAAATAATTAAAAAGTCACCCAGTGACCATTAGCTGAGTACTAAATGCTGTCTTGAAAAGTAAGGTTTTCCACTCCATGCAGGTGGTCCAGAATTATACCATGGTTGATGGTATAATTAATTGTCACCAGTTCTGATAAGACCAGGCATGGCACACTCCTCATCCAGTGTGACCAGGTGAGGAGACTAGGCAGAAGTTGAGAGATAGCCTCGTCAAGAGAGAACACACCACTGTCTTTTTCATGACGGTATCATCACACCTTTCTTCAGGGAAATGTTAACTTTCTCCTAAAGCCAGCTACACATATCCTGCCTGGCTGCCCAAAGGAGTCACGAGGGGCTATCCAAACCATAGGTGACAGAACTCATATTACAGAATACTCTGTCCACTTCCTTGGATTTAGAAGCTCAAAACAATTCCAGATAATATTGGAATTTGCCCCCTTTGCCCTACTTGATTCTGCCCAAATGGCATCAAGACTTGAGTGAATAATATGTGTAAGTTTCTGTAGAGAAACATGTAAAAGTAGCTTAATGGCTTGCAGATACCTTGTCCCCTTCTTCCCCAGAAGTATCAGAGTAATCCTGAATAGGGCTTCAAGTGGAAATCTGAAGACACAATAAGAACAAAAGAGTACATATACTTTGCTCCTCTTATCGCTACTTTGTAGGCTTAAACCTACATTTTAGATCATGCTCGTCTTGGCATCTTTTCATTCTCTTTATCTCCTGTAGCTCCTCTGTAAAGCATGGGGCTGCTCAGGATCTGTGATAGGGAAGAAGCTTCACAGGAGCAATCTTATCTAGTGTTCCAGTTGTCTTCTTACAGCAGAGACTGACCAAGTACAGGATGGAACTACCCACCAAATTGTCAGGAAATTGCCTGAATGCCTTCAGAAAACCATCAGCATCTATCAGCTGCCTAGAGCGGACTATTTTAATGCAACCTGGCCAAAACTGATCTGACAACAGCAAAGGACAGATATATGTCAAGGTCTTCCATATGTTCATCCTATCTCATCTACTCTGAAATAGAAACTAGATCCAGTGTTTGCCCATCTTCAGGAGTCATAGTTGAGCTTATCAACTCAAGCCCGTGGTTACAGTTAAGGCCATGTAGAGAGTAAAGAAGAGGACCTTCATGGTCCTCATTCCCAGAGTGATGAGGGAAGAAGCATGACTCAAGCCCAAAACAATCTGAGGGAGGAAGAAATTGTTCAGACTGATACCTTTTTATTTTCACAGAAGTATTAGGGGGTAGGTGTATATAGCATAATCAGGCTGAACACACAATGAAGATTTTGTTTCCATAGCCAATATAGTAAAGTAACCTGCCTTTGCAGTTACTTTCTTAGTCTGGTATACATAGTGTGACTGACAGGCCATAAAATTCCAAACCAACCCAAATCCTACTCCTAAGCATGGAGGTTGAAGTTCCCCAGAACCAGAAGTCTAAGGGACCCCATGTAATAGTATGTGGGAGTGACCTTGGGTGATAAGGGGAAGACCCACGGCCGGGGAACAGTCGCATAAGAGACAGCTTAGCTGGCAGAAGGAATGGGAGCATGGCAAACATCTGAGAAGGGACCCTTTACAGCCCTTACAGAAACTAGGGCTGTAAAGGTGATGGGGGAGAAATGTACTTTCAGACTTGGCAGCATTCTCTTAATGTAACCTTATAATAAAGTAGAATTAGTTCATCTGGGTGTGCTTCCTGTCTGGACTAACTCACAAAGCTGACACTTCCACAGTCCAGAAATATGGTCCAGGAGCTACTGAAGGGCTGCTGTGGGGCAGCAGGTCATTTGGTACACCAGCTTCAGCTCATCTTTGTCCTTAACAACCCATTTTTTCATACAGACACTCATATCCAGTTATCTCCAAGGTAGTGCTGTTGGTCATTTCCAAGCTCTCACAGATGTTCATAACAGCCCCTCCTTCCTAACCTTGGCATTGTGACTCCTACAAGACCTGAAACCTAGTAGGTCAAGTCTTGAGAAGACTACAGTACATCCCATTGCTCTCTGGCTTGAGCACTAAATTACCACCAATAATTTGGCCACCCAGGTCCAGGGTTGGAGCTATGGGTTAGAAGAAGGGACCTGCACTGTGTCCCTTCTCTTTTAATGGCCTATTGAGTATGCTCACCCCTCCTCCTCTCTTTCCTGTGCCCATCACTGGTAAATGTGGTCACCACTATCTGGTCCCAGCACCATTGTGCAGCACTCTGGCATCCAATTTGGTATCTGACACCATTTCATCCTGCAGGTATAGCAGCACTGTGCATGGTACTTCTGCAAACCCGCTAAGTCCAACTCACACGTTCAGCCACCATGACTCTACATCCACAATCACATAGACATTCACTGAACACCTACTTACATCCTAGCTCATTTGTTATGCTAGTTATGATCATATTCTTTTTCACAATACATAAATCAGTTATATCTCTTGAAGGTATATATTTGAATCTTGAGCAAGGTCCTTAAACATCTAGCACAATTTAAGTGTCTGGCTAAAAACCAGGGGTAATATGTTATCTCTGTTGGGAAAGAAATACGATTTTCATGGATGTAAGTTGTGTTTCCTGACAATTTAAGTTTATATACTGTTGTATTTTGTGTTTCATGGCTGAATTGTTCCTTTTTTTTCCAAATTAAAATAGAAGACAGATTTCACATTTACAGCTAAAATGCTTTCCTTTTATTTAATTAGTAGTATAGGCCAATAAATGGTAGTTATTCATGCAAAAACTCAGTAGGAACTTTATTCTAAAATAGTGTAATTCTGCTGTGTGGTGTTTAGGTTGGGATGATCTAAATCACACTCCAAACAGGGATGGAGCAGAAATTCATATTCCATACAGCAGTGAAAACTGATTATAGGAAAGCAGATTTATAGCTGTAAATTATATAGAAATGCTGCAGGCAGCATCTCCTGGTAATGGGATGGGTAGATAATTTTGAGAGGTATACTACTATGTTCATGACACATCAGTGTGACTTAACACATGAGACTTGTTTGATAACCCAAATACAGAAAGTAACTACCAGTCATAATATACTGATTTTTGCCTTGGTAATATAATATAATATAATATAATATAATATAATATAATATAATATAATATAATATAA